ATATATATATATATATATATTAAAAATTATGATTTAATAACTATTTAAATATAATATTAAAAATCCAATCCTCGCCAATAATGTTCTGGATCCGTTCCTGATAGGATAAGTCACTTGCGTGTGTATAAATATCTTTAGAAAATTAAATTAAAGTGTATAAAATAAAAAAAAAGTTTAAAATTCTGAACATTATCACGTAAAATTTTATAAGCTAAATTTTACTTTCGTGCTCCGATAATATTAAATCTGTATTTTTTTTTCTCAACTTAAAAAATTTTATTTTTAATTTTATAAAATCTGTAATTTTATCTTTTTTACTGCATGTACATTCATTAATCATTAAAATAAAAATTAGTCTAAATATTATAAAATATTAATTATCATGTTATCTATTTAATTTTGTATTATAACTAACATTACAATTTTTAAATGTTCAATATCATTATTTTCATTATAAAACCATTTATGAACGTCATCCTATTATATCATAAAAACATTAAAAATATATAGAATATATTTTAATTTTTAACCAAATTTTATAATATAATTATATATTTAAAATAATCGTGTATAATAAATTTTAAAATAATCACATTAAAAATAATATAACTATGTAGCATAAAATTTATAAATAGGTGTCTCTTAGTGAAAATATTACATTAAACACAGTTGATACTGATGGGAAAAATTCTTTTTCACACTAAGAGTATCCTCACATCCAAGAATCTTAAACGGAACATACCTATTTTATTTCTTCATTCTATATATAGAACAGAATTGTGATAGAAAATTTGAATCATATAATTTTTTTAATTAAAAAATTAGGAAACAGATCCTTAAAAGCTATCAAAACAAATAAAAATCTGTAAATCTAAATAATATCTTAAAGATTTCAAATTGCTAAAATATCTCTTTAAAAATTCACTCACTTAATAGATATTTTAATTTGTCACTTTGAGATATATTATTAGTGATTTAAGAAATTAAAACAATATTTTTAAAAATTATGAGATTAAAAATAATAAAAATAAATTTGTGTAAAATTTAACGAATTTTTTACTAAAATAAAATTTTTATAAAAAAATTTACCAAAAAAGCATCTGTACCACTTTATTTACCCAAATAGCACCTTTCACTGTACAATCTCAGAATTCGGTTCTCGGGGAACCGAATTCTGAGCTGTTAAAATTGTTTTTTTTTTTTTTTTTGCATTTTTGGAGCTGAGCATGGTGTAAAACTGGATCCGGAACGGGCCGTTTCGGATGCAAAAAAATACACACACGACGAATAGAGCAAAACGGGCTGTTCTGCTTGGACGTTCCAGTTTCAAAAATAACAGACTATGCGTGCAAGCAGAACGGTCCGTTCTGCTTGGAGAACGGGCCGTTCCAGTTGCAACATTAACCCGCAACCTGAACTACAAACAAAAAGAAAAAAAATTTTTTAGCACTACTCAGAATTCAGGGAACCGAATTCTGAGCAAAAAAAAAAAAATTGTAATTCAGAATTCGGTTCCTTGGGAACCGAATTCTGAACGTGAACAGTGAAATGTGCTATTTGGGTAAATAAAGTGGTACATGTGCTTTTGGTAAAAAAAAAATTTTAAAAATTTTATTTCAGTAAAAAGTTCAAAATTTAACAGACTTAAAAATATATTTAATATTGTCCCCTTATAATTGGTACGTGAATTGGAACAGGGCAGGATGGTGTGGTGTCAGTGTTCCGAGATCCAGTGGTTGAGTTACACACAACTCGATCATGGGATTTCTTAGAAACAGATTTGGGAATGAAGACTCATACCAATGCCAATGCCACTCCCACACTCCATCACTCCTCAACTGATATCATTGTGGCTCTCATAGACACAGGTAAGGGATGCAATTCTTTAATACAATATTCAGACACTTTACACTTACTTATATCATGCCAAGATAATTTATTTAATAAGAAATTTTGTGTTTAATTTTTAGGGTTTATGAAATTTTTTTGCAATTATAGTATTATGAGTGAAATTTATCATTAGATATTGTTGTGATATAAACAAAATTTCATATTGGTAAAATATAAGAAGAAATAATAACTTATAAAATACACATATACTCTAATGATTTGAGAAATTTTTTGGATGATGATCAAAAATAAAAATCATGAAGGCTTAAGTTCAAAGTAGACAATATCTTATTACCGTGAAGTTTTGTGTAAAATAACCTATCCCCTCAAATAAATATGGACAAAATAACCCCCATCAAATACACCATGATAAGAAAAAATAATCATTTTACCTTTTTCTTTTGACTAAGTATTTAATGAAATTTTAATAAAAATATGAACAGGAGTTTTGATTAAAAATGAATTAAAAAATTAATGATCAAACTACATTTTTCAAATATATAAACTTATTTAAAAAATTAAATAATTTAGAGACTTACAAAATAATTTAATTTTAATTTTACTACCAATATTAATTACTATTGCACTTTACATTAACAAAAAATAAAGTATTCAAGAGAAGCTACACGTCTTTAATGTAGGTTAATATTTTTCTGGTAAAAAAAAATTTAATAATAAAATTTTGCACAAAAGTCAGCATAGTAGAACCCACATCCATATGTGGTTTATTAAATGAGTATTAGTTTTATATCAACACATCTTCAAAATCTGCTTTTAGCTAATAATTTTGCCTACCATTAATAAGAGCGTTAATTATCTATACACTATACCAGCAACTAATTATATCTTTTAATTGTGTCATATCACTATAAACATATTTATTTTTAACAGTGACATAACACAATTAAAAAATATAATTGATTGTCAGTGTAAAAAAACTTTACATTAACAATATATATAAGTAATCAACTCTTAATAAAATATTCACTACATTGTCTTACTTAAAAGAAACAAAAATAAATGCAACTTTTATGATAAAGATAAGGTTATATCCAAAGCAAAATTATTACCTTCTTTATCCTTATAGGTCATTAATTGAGTGCATTCTAACTACATTTGGCTCATTGTGTGGCATTACTTGATTCGACTCCTTTTCTTACACCACTTCATTGAAGTTAGTCAAATAAATAAATTTTAGATATATAGTATACAAACCCACCTAAACCTCACATGCATTAAGATAAATATAAAATTAAGTATATTGATGTAATTGTTATCTGTAATTGAATGCATTTGGTTTTGAACATAAATTATTTAATATCATTATTTGTAATAAATATTACTTTATCCGCTTAAAATATAACATCTAAATACAAAGCATAAATCTACATCCTCACAAAACGTTAAAAAAAAAAAACAAAAAAAAAAAAAAACCGTTCAATATGATGTAGAAGAGTGCTTTACATATTCCTTCATCTATAGAGTTTAAGTAAATAAAATAAAATAAAATCACTTGAATGTTGGTTTTAATTATAAGTAAATTTTTATAAATTTAATTTATTTAGTGTTATCATTTCCAAAATATCATTCGATTAATGGAGGTTTATTTCTAATAATTCGTTTTTCTTGGTATCATGTTCCAATGAAAATGGTCCAAGAAAAAAGTTTATTTATTTTTAAATAAAATTAGTACAATTAAATGATATTAGATCATTTTTTAATTAACGTAAATATTTTTTTAAACTAAAAAAAAATAAAAGCAATTTTTGAAGCAATATATAAAAGCTGCTTCTTAAAAAAGCTATTTTTAAAATAAAAAACAATTTAGACATATACATTTAAAAAATTGCTTATTTTATTAAAAAATATTATTTTTCAAGATTTTTTTTAAACAAACGGGCCTAACATGAAACCAAATGGAGTGCTCTCTAACATACTTACATACTTATGTTAGTATTTTATTAGTTAAAATTTATTAGAAACTAAAAAAATAAAGAGTGGGATCAATTAAATAAGAGATAAAATTCACAATTCCTTTATATATATTTTCAATAAATTTGAAGAAAAATTATGTTCAATAGAATGTAGCACAAAATTTATTACCAGCATTTCGCATAGTATTTATATTCATTATTCAATCAATTCACCTTTTTCCCTCACTTTTAAATTTATAGAAAAATATTATAATCCTGTTTTTTGAATTACTAAAACTAAAATTATAAGAACTTATTTGCTAAAATTAAAGTCAATGAATCTCATAAAAGAAACAAGAATTAAAGTGAATGATCTCAAAATTTTCATTAAAATTAATTTAACACTTAAAATTGGATACTGCATTTTATTTCAGTTAAGCACATTATTAGAAACATCATTCGCAAACAGTTCAATACGATATAAGACTGTTCAAGTTTAACATAATTATATATAATATATTATATGTCTCATTATATCTATAATTTATGGTAAATTAATTAATGTTGAAACAATAATAATATATATGATAAATTATCAACAAATTTACTATCATTTTGATAATACACAATGTTAGAACCACTACCATTGTGTACTTTATCATAATGTCCGGTTCAAATTTTTGTATTTTCATTATAATTACACAGATAGGTAAAAAAACACTCCATAAATTGTATCCTTCCAAATAATATATAAGATGAGATACCCATATTCTAGGATCATATAATCCTATTACATGAAATGCACCAAAATCAGAATAAGCCACCCCTACAAGAAATAAATGAATTAAAAAAAATTGGACAAATATGTTAAACTTGAATCAATGTCATAAACGAATTAAAATTTCATTCATATAATGCAAATTAATTACAAATAAAAACTAAAGTGAACAAATTCATACATACCTAAATAAACTTTTTTTTTTTGATAATCCAAATAATTAAAAATAAAAGGAAGTACAAGGGGTACTCCAACTCATTACAAAAATACCACATGTGATATGTGTACTATGTACCACTAAAAATATTGTTCTAAAACTAGGAACCTAAGCTAGTCCATCACATCCAAACCCACAATTTTGAGATAGAAATTGCAGAATCAGATTTCTATAGTAGTCTCATTTACCATCTGAATACATTTACCTAGGTGAGGCAAGCTGCTGAATTTATTGACCAAGAAGCAAAGTCATACCTAAAAATTTTATGCCTTGTCCTTAACCAGTTCCAGGTTCTAATTTTAACCAAAATCTATCATCTCCAATACAGATATTTGAGTGGAAGAGAAGACCACTTCATTCCTAGCCAACCACACTATCCATATGATGGCTAACCAAATAGATATCCAACAATCCTTTTTCCGAGAGTTACATAAAGAAAGACTAGAGAATTGTTCCAAGTGCATTGCACAATTATTATGCATAACTGTGCTAACAGCTAACCAGTTAAAATAATCTATCCAAACTCGATAAGATACATGACACTCAAAAAACATATGTGATCTAGTCTCCGTGTGACCTGTGCAGCGAGGGCACTCAACTTGAGAACTGTCCAAAATGCCTCTAATAAAAAAATTGTGTTTAGTAGCAACTCGGTTAAGAATTACCTTCCAAGCGAAAGCTGTAACCTTTGTTGGAACTACCTGAGACCATACCTTTGAAAAAAATTTATTGGATGCAAAAATCCTATCATTTCTAATCTCCTTATATGCAGACTTGACAGAGTAAATGCCACTGGGATCAGCAGTCCAACTCCAATAGTCTTCTACATCAACCTTCAGATTTAGCTCACTGATTTTTGTTGTAATAGAATTTAATAGATCTTCTTCCCACTGAAATAACTCTCTACGCCATCGCCAACACCACTCAAGGCCTCCATTCCTAAATAAACTAATTTCACAAAAATTCTCTTAAAAAAATAAATTGTCTATCTAGTGTGGATTTCTTTTAACTTTTTATTGGTGAATGAGATTGGATTTTAAAATATTGATAAATTGAAAATAGAGATAAATAAACATTAGTCATTGAATAAACTATAAAATGCCAAATGAAAGTAAGTAAATTGATTTAGATATGTATTACCCCTCTATAAGTCCATAATGTTCCCATAGATAAAGGTGAACATGTGTTTCATGACATAATAACTACATTCATTATTACTTAGTTGATATGAGAACTATAACTTAAAATACAATTTAAACATGACAAGTGTTGACTCACTTGACATAGAAATTTTTTTTCTATGTTAGGTCAAACAACACTTGTCATAAATTTTTTTTTATCATATTTACAATTTTGCAACCATGTCATTTTCTATGATGTGTAGATTATATCCTACATAAAATTTTCATCATAGACACAATTAACCCTTGTTGTAAGTCCATATAATGTTCTTATAGATGATCATGAACATGTGTTTCATGACATAATAACTGCATTCATTTTTACTTGGTTGATATGGGCACTACAATTTAAATATGATAAGTAGAATTAATAGAAAAAGCAAATATCTTATGATACCCCAGACCCTACTCAAATATTGATAGAGTGAATGGATACCTATGACTCGATTGGCAAAATAGTATCTCTCCCAAAATAAATTTTTTTACCATCACAAGAAGAAAATATGTTGTCATGAATGAACAATATATTGAAGGATTGTCTATACGTAAAATCATAATTATTGATACAAGTCTTTTCCAGATAAAAACGAATATTTTTGTTACAATAGAAGTAAAAGTGACATTGACTATTCAAGAATCAAAGTTAATTTACTTTATAAAAATAGTATATCTGACATAAAAAGATCTTTCTATGTTAAAACACCCGTCATAGAAATTTTTTAACATACTTATGATTTTGCCATCACATCACCTTTTATAATGTTTAGGTTACCCTCGACATAAAATATCTATCATAAAAAATTCATTTTACACTAGTAACATATGAACATAGTAATATGAAACTAAAGAATGATAATATTGGCTCTATGTTTGATTCAAATGATGATAA